CATAGGGTATTCCAGGCCAACCAAGGCGCATAGTAAGACCATGTCACAAAAATAAAGAAGGAAAACAAAGAAAGCTGTTTTTCCCTACACTGTTATTAATAAAAATATAAAATGGCACGTCACTTTAGCAAATAGGTTTAGTTGTTACCTTTAGGTTTTTTTTTTTAAAGTTTGGTGCGGGAGAATTATCTGTATTCTGTCAATCATATTTTAATAAAACGCTGATTGGCCAGGCAGGCAGTATAGGCGGGAAAGCCAGACAGGAAGTAGGGGTGGAGCAAAGAGACTGGGAGTATTCTGGAAGCAGAAGCTCTCTCTCAGCCACTCCTGTACAGACCACCGAAGAGACAGCATGTAACCTGCCCAGCTCAAAAAGGTATGGAGCCATTATGGCTAACATAGATCAGAATAATGGGTTAATATAAGTTATAAGAGTTAACAAGAAGCCTGACCCTATGGGCCAATCAGTTTATAACCTTATGGAGTCTTGTGCGTGATTTTCTTTGTTGCTTGCCGGCTGTTGGGGTACCAGGAGGGACAGAAACCCCAACAAGCCAGCCCTCATGTTACATATGGCGCCCACGTGGATAACTGAATCCACAGAAAGCCTGAGAAAGCTTGGGAAAGAATAGAGTAAAGCATGTTTTGTTGGTAGCAGCAATTTCTCGGGTCTACTCTGCTTGCTAGAGGCAAGCAAGCGCTCTCATCTGAGAGAGGCTTCCTGACTCAGCTTTAGCGGCAAAACCCTGCAGCTCATTAAGAGGTCCTGCCACGAAACACTTACGGTGTTGATCAAAAGCTGAACGCATGCTTTTCGGTTTTCAGCCATAGCAGGAAAAAAGCTGCGCTGTTTTAAAATGCCAGCTTTCTGGGCTGTCCTGCTAAGGCAATCTCTGACTCTTTCAGGCAGGCAGTCCGACTGAGTGTGGTCTGTGAGCAGAATGCTGCAGCTTGCTTGCTAGCAAGGACCTTGAAACGCCATAGAGTTGTGGCAGTGAACACAGCTCTGGCTGGTACCTCAGCCATGAGGCTGGAGAGCTAAGAAATGAGATGGATCTAGCCGTCAAAGCCACGGCTCTCCATATTGCTTAGTAAATTAAAGGCTCATGTAGTCAGAAAAAGAGAGATACAGTAAAGAGAGATTCAAAGAGGAAAAAAAACCTCTAAATGGTTTACTATGTGTTAAAAATACATGCAGGCTAAAGGTGAAAGTTATTAAAAATAAGAAAGAAAGGGAGAAATAGGGTGTGGTAGTACACGCCTTTAATCCCAATGCCTGGGAGGCAGAGACAGAAGGATCTCTGTGAGTTCAAGGACAGCCTGGTCTACAGTGTTATTCCAGGACAAAGATATACAGAGAACCTGTCTCAAAAAGTAAAAGTAAAAATAAAAAAAATAGAGGTTAAAGTAAAGCCACACAAAGATGGAAAATACACAGAGAATCTTGATACTGTGTGCTATTATGTTCTCTTTGAATTGTTTGATTGCTGAGGAAGGAGCAACAGCTGCTAAAAGACTTTTGTTTATAAATGCTGCTGAACTAACCCAAGATAGGTATTTTGAAAATACCTTGGCTTCAAAACTGAAGTCAAAAGGTATGTTACTTTGGAGAAGAGATTTTGCTTTTGTTTCCACAGAAAACGAGAGACTCTGGATTTATTCAGAGTTAAGAATAATCACCTTTGACCAAGGGAGGCCACCTGAAAAATCTCCGAAAGGAACAGATGGCCCAGATGACAGAGGTCTACATCCAGAAATGATCCAAGACTGCTGCCTGAGATGATCGAGACTCACAGGATACTCCAGTCAGGACTTGATGATAATTCTAAATTTTCTTTAGGTCCCCTTAAGACTATCAGCGCCCCCAACCAGCAGGAAGTAGCCTGAAATACTACGCCCACATTCCCAACAAATGGATTATGGGTATTTTCCTTTGTTTAAAAAAAAAAAAAGAGGGAAATGGTGCGGGAGAATTATCTGTATTCTGTCAATCATATTTTAATAAAACGCTGATTGGCCAGGCAGGCAGTATAGGCGGGAAAGCCAGACAGGAAGTAGGGGTGGAGCAAAGAGACTGGGAGTATTCTGGAAGCAGAAGCTCTCTCTCAGCCACTCCTGTACAGACCACCGAAGAGACAGCATGTAACCTGCCCAGCTCAAAAAGGTATGGAGCCATTATGGCTAACATAGATCAGAATAATGGGTTAATATAAGTTATAAGAGTTAACAAGAAGCCTGACCCTATGGGCCAATCAGTTTATAACCTTATGGAGTCCTGTGTGTAATTTCTCTTTGGGATTTGCCGGCTGTTGGGGTACCGGGCGGGACGGAAACCCCAACAAGCCGGCCCTCATGTTACAAAAGTTGAACATTTATTTAACATCAATCCTGTCAGTCAAACTCCTAGGTATTTATCCAGATGAAAACTCATACACATAAAACATATTTATGGGGCTAGAGAGAGGGCTCAGTGGTTCAGAGCACCGTAAATGGTTCCCAGCACCCACAGAGCAGCTCACAACCACCAGAACTCCAGTTCCAGGGGAATCAGCACCCCTTTCTGGTCTACTAATGCCCTGCATGCATGTGGTACACAGACACACATGTAGGCAAAACAGCCATACACATAAAATATAATAAAACCCTATTTACAATAATTTTATTTATAGTACCCCAAACTAGAATTATTAAATGTTATTTCTTATATGATTCCATTTCCATAACTGTAGTGGCATTTAAATTGTATTTTAATAAATAAATCTTGTCTGAAGATCTGAGAGTAAAACAGCCCCACTGGTCAACCTTACAGACCAAGCAACAATAACACACTCCTTCAATCCTAGTAGCCACACCAGCTTGCCCTAGAAGCCAGACAATAGTGGTACACGCCTTTAATCCCAGAACTAAAGAGGGTTGTCAAACAGGAGACAGCTCACACACACAGTCTCATTCTGAGAATCCTAGAGGCAGGGTTGCTATTTTCGGATTAAGGTCGAGGTCAGAGCCAGGGGCTGGCTGCTTTGCTTTTCAGGTCTTCAGGCTGAACCCCAATTTCTCTCTCTGAGTTTTTATTAATCATACTTCACATAACATTCTCAATGACAAAATTATAGAGCCGGAGAACGGTTAGTTGCCAGTGGTTACGGAGGGTAGTCTGGTAGGGAACATGGTAGGCTAAATGAATGTGAGGTAGTACGAGGCAGACCTTTGTGATATCAGAGTGGTTCTGTATATTGCTTGCCGTAGCTGTGTGAGTCTGCACAGATGTTAAAATGGCACGGTGCTGCACACACACTGTGGGGCCACAGGTGCTGCACACACTCTGTGGGTACACAAATGCCCGCTTTGGGTATACTCTTCTACAGTTATGTCAGATGTAGCTGCTGGGGACATCTGAATAGCTGCCTGTAGAATGTTTCCATGCTGTCTTTGCAGCTTCATGCTGCAATGTGTAATTCACTCAGAATAAAGATACAAAGTAACTATTGGACAATACGCAATAAACTTATAAATGACGACTGAGAGTGGGGTGTCTTATCTACCCAATCGCATGAAGTGAAGAAATTAAGATACTTCGTTCCAGAAGTTTTAGCTTTTGGTTTGGGCTGGGAATAGACTTGTAAAGAAACCCTCAGCTGATGTTTCCAATCTTCTAGTTGAGAAATGATATTATTATTGGTATGATTGAAATTAGACTCTGTTGCCTTTGAGTGTATTGAGCAGTTAATATATTTAAGATGCACCTATATTTGACTGCATGTTGTTTTCTTTCAGAAACTAGATGTGCTGTGTCATTCTGGCTAAATCCACAGACACAAGCCTAAATTTTAGGAGTAGAGCCTTTCAAGTTATTTAATAGAGTCTGGTTTCATTTTTGATACATTAAACATTTACAATAGCAACAATATAGAAGTAACCTGCCAGTCAATGAGCAAAGAGTAAACAGAAGAGTAGGTCACTGCGCATCTCCAGATGGGGTGGGGTTTCTGCTGCTTAAGGAGGCACTTGAGAAAGTCACAGAATACCTGACCCTTTATTTGCTTTTTTTCTTGAGGCTAATGGAGAGTTGTCCTCATGGTTGGTCACACACTGGGCGGCTCCCTTCCCGGGGCCCCGAGTCACTCCGCTCATCGGCTGAGGACTTGGCTGGTGAATGCTTGCTTCTTCAGCTCTGAGGTTGTTGTGGGCCGAACAAGAATCAGCACTTTTCAGAAAGATCGTTTTTGTTTTATGTGTATGACTGAATGCCATCATGTGTGTATCTGTACTACATGTGTGCTTACTGTCACTGGAGGCCAGACTAGGGCATTGGATCTCCTAGAACTGGAGTTAGATAGTGGTGAGCCTTCATGTGGGTGCTGGGAACAGACTCTGGGTTATCCGCCAGAGCAGCAAGTGACCTTAACCACTGAGTCATCTCCTCAGCCCTGACAGTCATTACTAACCATCACAGAACCCCTTACCAGAGAGATGTTCAAGTTTTCATCATCTGAGAATCAAGGATTTCAACACAACAAAAAGCTACATTCTTTGTATCTTATAGAGCCATTTCAAATAAATGGGTTAAAATAGCAAGCAACCATGCATGCTGAAGGTGAAGGCGTTTGTGACCCTTGATGGTAGCTTTGCTCCTTTCTTATCCGTAAACCTGTAGTTTCCTGAGGCTCTCATGTTTACGATCACAGTATGCTTTAACTCGTGACCTCGGAGAGTCAGAAATAGTAAATAAAATCAGGAGGGCTGAGGATGCGGCTCTGTGGAGCGGTTTCCTTAACACATAGAATGTAAGAAGAGGGTGAAACCTTTCGTCTTGGAGGGAAACTCCTTAACCACAGGATATCAGAAAGCAGTTGAAACACAATCACTGAAGGGGAGGTGAACCACTCAACCCCGCAGGGAAGCCTGCTAACACAGGCAGAATTCACAGGCTTTGGGGAGTTCCTGAAAGTGACCAGGTTCATTAGACTCCTCATTTACCAAGTGCATCTTTTTTTTTCCAGTATGATGGCATGCAGGCAGACATGGCGTTGGAGAGGTAGTTGAGAGTTCTACACCAGGATATGCAGGCAGCAGGAAGTGACAGTGAGCCACTAGGCCTGCTTGAGCTTCTGAGACTTCAAAGCCTACCCCACTAGTGATGCACTTCCTCCAACAAAGCCACACCTACTCCATCAAGGCCATACCTCCAATTAGTGCCATTCTCTGTGAGTCTATGGGGCCATTTTCTTTCACACAACCACATTCCACCCCCTGGCCCCCCATAGGCTTCTAGCCATATTGTAATGCAGAAATGCATGAAGTCCAATTTTATAAGACCCCATAGTCTATAACTGTCTCAATAAACCCTGTAAAAAACCAATACTCAGAGTCTCTTTTGAGACTTATGGCAATTTCGTAACTGTTACCCCCTATAAAATCAAAATGAAAAAGCAAATCATGTACAGTATGTACTTCTAACAAACTGTTTGATTGAAATCTCCAGCTCAGCCCCATTTCTCCATCTCCAAACCCTGCCTTCTCAGAAAAACTGCCAAGTGTGGAGGCAGCTCCTCTCCTGAAGCTGCTAGCTCCCCAATCTCTGCCCTAAGTGTTTTAATTGGGCACAAAAGAGCCAGTCAGTAGTGGCACATGCCTTTAGTCCCAGCAGAGGATTGGGAGGCAGAGGTGGGCGGATCTCTGTGAGTTCAAGGTCAGCCTGGCCTATGGAGAAACCCTGTCTTGAAAAACCAAAAAAGAGGGGCTGGAGAAATGGCTCAGCGGTTAAGAGCACTGACTGCTCTTCCAGAGGACCCGGGTTCAATTCCCAGCACCCACATGGCAGCTCACAACTGTCTGAAAATCTGGTTCTAGGAGATCTGACACCTTCACACCAATGCACATAAAATAAAAGATAAATAAATCATAAAAAAATTTAAAAAAAAGAACTTCAGGGGACCTTAAAAAAAAAAAAAGAAAAACCAAAAAAGAAAAAGTAAGAAAAATTAGGCACAAAATCAACTTACGGAAGATGCATCATGAACCTGGTGCCTATAGGGTATTTAAGCCCCTTTTTTCAGAATCAGCCATGTGATTTCTCTCCTGCACCTCCCACCCAATCCCTGGGGGGGCAGCTGAAGCACCCACCTGAGAGTGTTTTGCTCAAATATACCTGGTTTTTCATGTAGACTGAGACTGCTTTACTTCCTGGCCACCCAGATCTGAATAATAGCACAGAAACTATGCTAATTGCAACACTGCTTGGCCAATAGCTTAAGCATTATTTCTAGCTAACTCTTACATTTTAAATTAACCCATTTCTATTAATCTGTGAATCACCATGAGGCTGTGGCCTACTGGTATGGTTCTGGCTGGAGGCTGGAGCCTTTTTCCTTAGGCAGCTACATGGCATCTCTCTGACTCCGCCTACTCTTTCCCGATATCTCTGTTTAGATTTCCCGCCTGGCTTTATTCTGCCCTGCCATAGGCTGAAGCAGCTTTATTCATCAACCAATAAAGCAACACATATGCAGAAGGACATCTCACATCATTTTTACCTTTTAATTTAGGCTTGATCTGGCTTACTGCATCAGCAGAGAACCTACTATCAGTGGACAGAAAATCTTTTACATACAATGGCACAGAATATACATTACCATTCGGAGAGGGGTGAAAGGGATCAGAGCAAGACTGAAAACCAGCCTGTGCCCATTTTGTGTCTTCATGTCTGATGTCAAAACACCCTTTAGATCTCCAACTCCGTTTAGCTTTGTTGACGACAACATACTTCTTTCTCTTGGGCTGGTGCCACTCCCTGTTAGCAGCTCTCCTCGGCAGGTATCCCACGACTTTGGCATCTCTAACATCTTGGGGTCCCCAAGGCAACCCAGGCTTTACCTTTACAGCTTCACACAATGGCTTCTCTAGGCTTCCATGCAGGGACACCCCTGACACAAGCCTGGCCTCAGCGGCTTTTCTTAGCCACAGAGGGAGATTCCATAACCCTTTCTTCTGTTCTTGGCTCTAAAACCAGAACCACAAGACCAAAGCTGCCAAGTTCTGCTGCTTGAGCGAGGCCCCCTATTCAATTACATCTTCACCAGCCTTTTGTTTTTGATAGTGTCCTTCATTGTCCAAGCTTGGTTGTCCTGAAACTCTATCTGTGGACCAGGCTGGCCTTGAACTCTGAAATTCACTTGCTCTGTCTCCTGACTGTTGGGATTAAAGGTGTGTACCACCATACTAGGACCTAAACTGTTCTTTAATTCATTTTGACAAGGAGGAAGCTTAGCTGGGTAGGGTCTTGCTCTGAGGTCACAAGTCTCTTTATTCTATTTAACATCAGGTTTTTCTTTAATCTGTTTATTTCCTTGATTACAGGGTTTAGCTTCAATCCACTCCCTGGTGCCTCCCTTTTCCTTGAACTGTACATTTTGTATTTTCTTTGAATAGGTTGCTACTTTTCGTTTTTAGATCTTCATAAGAGTGAACTCTAATAACCACAAGACAGAGTCAATACTAGGCTGTTTTAAGATTTCCTCTACCAATGGAATTAATCCAAAACTCTTCACTTTAGTCTCAGGCAGACAGGGGCAAAAACCAGCCACATTCTTTGCCAAAATATGGTAAGAACAGTCTCTAGGCTACATTCTAACATTCTTCTCTGCTGCACCATCTTTAGCTGGGTTGACACAGCTCAAACCCCCTTAGCACCACTGTCTTCCACGCTCTACTAGAAGAGCCCATTAAGCCACACTTGAAGTGTTCAATTGCTTTTTCTAGCCAAGTCTTAAAGTTCACACTCTTTCAAACAAAAGCATGGTCAGGCCTATCACAGCAATACCCAGTCCCTGGTACTACTTAGATGCTGCGGGAGTACCTTCCACTCCTTCAGCCAATAGTCACTGAAATACCAGCCCACTGGGGTGTGGTATATTTCTCTTTTAAAAAGAGCCACAAGTCTCGGCTCAGCCTCTCTTGGTTCTGGCGCTTGATTCCGGCTCCTGCTCCAGCGACTAGGCTCCTTTCCTGACGGTTTGTGTGTATGTAAGTTTTACCCCCCAAAATAAATACCCCTTTAAAACCTAACTGGTGTGGGATTGATTCGCCATTACTTAGCTTTTTCTTGCTGTGGAGAGACACCATGACCAAAGCAACTCTTAGAAAATGTTTAATTGAGTTGGGTGGTGGCGGCGCAGGCACACGTTTAATCCCAGCACTCAGGAGGGAGAGGCAGGCAGATCTCTGTGAGTCTGTGAGTTTGAGGCCAGCCTGGTCTACAAGAGCTAGTTCCAGGACAGGCTCCAAAGCTACAGAGAAACCCTGTCTCAACACCCCCCGCCCAAAAATACCCCAAAAAACCAAAACCAAACAAACCAAAAAAAACCCCCAAAAACCCCCACAAAAACAAAAACAAAAAACACCCAAAACCCCAATACAAAGAAAAACAAACAAACAAAACAAAAAAAGAAATGAAAACATTTAATTGGTACTGGCTTACAGTTCAGAGGGGCTGGTTTATAGTTCAGAGGCTTAGTCCATTATTGTCATGGTGGGAAGCATAGACGTGTCGGCAGACATGGTGCTGCTGAGGTAGCTGAGAGTTCTACTTCTGGATCCACAGGCAGCAGAAGTGACAGTGAGCTGTAGTTGTACTTTCTTGTTGGGACTGCCAGTCCGCAAATAATGACATGGAGACTTATTAATTATTAAAGCTTGGTTTTAGCTTAGGCTTGTTCCTAACTAGTTCTTATAACTTAAATTAACCCATGTTTTCAAACTACATTCCTCCACAAGGCTCGTTACCTCACCTCTGTACTGCCTTCCGGCTTCCTCGGCCACGGGCTGGCAACTCCCTGCACACCTAGATTCTTTCTCTTCTTCCTTTTTCTCCCTGGAAATCCTGCCTATCCTCTCCTGAATAGTTCCTGACCATTCAGCTTTCTATTACACAACCACAGCAGTGCATCTTCTTCACACAGTGTACATATATTCCACAGCAGTGAGCCACTGGGAAGGCTTGAGCTTCCGAGATCTCAAAGCCCACCCCTCCTAGTGATCCGCCTCCTCCAACAAAGCCACACCTACTTCAGCAAGACCACGCCTCCTAAGAGTGCCACTCTCTGTGACCTTATGGGGGCCATTTTCTTTCAAATCACCACACTTACTTATTTAATTTTATTTATCGTGTGTGTTGTATGTGTTTATATGTTTGGATGTACATGTAGGTGTGTGTGTAGGTCAGAGGTCGATATGGGGAGTCTTCTTCAGTGACTTTACCCCTTACATATTTGAGACAGGGTGTCTCACTGAACCCGGAATTCCCAGATTCAGCTAGATGGGATGAACAGCGTCTTTAGGGCGTTGCCTGTCTCCATCCTGCTGGCACTGAGGTTATAAACGTGAAATCCATGTTTTTTATGTGAGGCTTTTATGTGAGGTTTTAGGAACCTGAACAGGTTCTCAGCTCATGCAGCAATGGAGGCAAGTCCTTAGCGCCCTCGGCATTTCTCAGCCCAATCAAGTCGGCATTGGTCGAATGCCTTTTTGCTGGAATGTAAACTATCAGCCACTATCAACTTTCTGTGCGTATAGACAAAGAGGCTCTAACGGTCTACAGGGAGGTAGGCGAAGCAGACTGAGCCTGGAAGATTTATTCCCAGGATGTCTGGATGACAGTTGTGAGGTGTGGGAGGATGGTGACTCAGTTTCCCCCAGGTGTCTCCCCATGGGTTCTTGCACAGGTGATGCCTGGTTTTAAGACTGAGCATTCTAAGAGACAGGAGGGTAAGCTGCCAGTTCCTTCCATGCTGGCTGGGCCTAGAAAGTAACACGATGGGTACACTGGTCACTGAGGAACTCAAAACCCAGGTCTGATGTGGGAGTGTTCAGATGGAGATCCGGTGACTCAGAAGGCAGAGGCAGGAGAATCAGAAACTTGAGGCTAGCCTGGGCAAGACTGGTAACACTCTGAAACCCTGTCTCAAAAACAAAGAAATCTATCCAATAGAACGTATATAACTTCCAAAGGACATGGAATAGAGCACACTCCTCAATAGAAGGGTTGAAGAATGTGGGAATTTTAGCCTGTCAGTCTTCCTTCCATCTACGCACTATTTACGGCTTTTCTTATATGCAATAATAAAATCATGTTCTCAAGACCACCACATGCCTCATTTTGTTATGAGCACCATGTTTATGTTAGCATATAGGATCACCTTTATTTTATTTTTAAAAATTCAGACAGGGTGGTCCAGGCTAGTCTTGAACTCCTGAATCCAGGGCTCTAATGATTCACCTGTCTCAGTCTCCCAAGTAACTTGATTTCCTATTGCATGCCTTTACACACTGGTTTGTCTACAATGCTACAAGAGGACTGTTTTTTTCTCACTCAAAACAGAGTTTGATCCATTAGTTGCTCAATAAAGCTATTTGTGAGATAGATAATCTTTTTTTTTTTTTTTTTTTTTTTTAGACGAGGTTTCTCTGGGTATCCCTGGCCGTTCTGGAACTCACTCTGAAGAGCAGGCTGGCCTGGAACTTACAGATCTGCCTGCCTTTTCCTTCCTGTGCTGGGATTAAAGTGTTGTGCCACCACTGAGCAGTTTATTCTTATTTTTTCAGAAGGCATTTTCGAAAGGTTAGGGAGCAAAAGTAAACTCAGTACTTGAGATTAAATGATTGGACATCAAATTGAACACGGTCTGCATCTCAGCGGGACTTACACTACGGCAGAGGAAGGCGAGAAGGCGAGTTATGTTGACAAAGGCTACAGTCAAGCCAAGTCTATACTAAGGCGTTGGCTGTGCAAAGGAACAGATGCAGCTCACAGCTTGGAGTCTGGAGTCTGGTGGTGGTTCAAATTTGGGAAGGGCAGAGCAAACAGAAGCAAGGATAATTTTCAGGCTTGGGGACTGAGCTTAGAGCCTTGCAGGAGTCCAGGAGAGGATGATATAGGCAAGTGAGGAATTTACATCCATAAATGGGTCAATTAGCAAAAATTCTAGATCTGTCTGCTGTGAAAAAAAAAAAAAACCACCAGAGATGAAATATCTCAAAATAGGAATCTAGGTTTATGCTTTCAGAGGTTTCAGTCCAAGTTCTGATGGTCCTGTGCTTTGTGCCTGAGATTAAGTGTTTGAGTGGAAGTGTCACCCCAGCCTCAATGAGTCTGGAATGTTTGGGTGTAAAGTTCCATCCCAAGTCCTCTCCCCTGGGAGTTGTCTCAGTCCAGACTCCACCCTGAGAAAGCCCGCCAAATGATGAGCCCCTCCTCAGAGATGCTCAAGACCACTCCCACAGGGTATTTAAACAGCAACCAAGAAAACAAACACGTGGTTTCCTGCTCTTCCACTCCCATGTCCTCTCTGAGGGCCTGGAATGCCACCTGGGAGCACTGGTATCCATTACACCTGGGCTTTTTTCTAATTCGGTTTGATTTGGTTGGCCTGATTTGGATTACTGCATCGGCGGAGAGGTTTATGGGGGTGCAAAAACTTTTCAGTAAGGTAGAATGCTATGATAATCAGACCATGTAAAAAAGGTCAGCTTCCATGCTGACCTCATGGAAGCCAGAAAGCAGGGAGAAAGAGGCATACTTCCAGGGAATGACTTCTCCCAGCTAGGACCCAACTGCAATGATTTCAGCCACATAAGGCTGATACTTCTGTGTTCTAGGGGCCATGCACGTGTAGACAAGCCCTTAGGCAGAAGTGAATAATGCCCTCCCCCCATGTTAAAGAGCCCTGTGTGATCCACGTATGACTCAGCTAAGCCCTTGCACACATGCGAGAGCCCCCGTCAGTCATCTGCCTATGACATAGCCACATCAACCCCCTGTGCACACGCGCTAGGCAGCTTTTAAAAGTTGGACACACCATCTCCCCCCCCGCCCCCCCCCTCCGCCCCTGCACACTGACTTCCCCAGGCCTGTGCACACCCCCTCTAATAAACTCCTAAGTGGTTTTGTTCCGTGCTTCCTTCTCATTCGGGCCAGGTAATTTCACCACCTCTTAGCTTATTCAGCTAATTAAGACATAAATTCATCAATGGGTCATTAACAACCCTGCTACCCCCATCCAGTTACTTCTCAATAGTGACACTAGCTGGATCCAGTCCTTCAATATATGAGCCCTTGAGGGAAGACATTTCTGGAGGGGTGGTCTTTTCCTGGGCCAGACCAATTGGAATGTTAGGTGCTCACCTAGGTCAGAGATTTAATTCTTTTGTCCAGAAGGAACTAATTTTTCCTCAATGGGCCTCACTGTTGCTGTCTCCCTAAGATAAAATACCCTGACAAAAGCCATTCAAGCAGGGAAGGAAGGGATTATTTTGGCTCCAAGTTCCAGGTTCCAGCCTTTCTCCCCACCCCCATCCCTTGGGGAAGTCCCAGGAGCAGGAGTTTGAGAAACTCGACCGCGTGGTAGAGGAATGAATGCTCGCCTCTGCTGTCTCTTTCCTTCAGTTGAAGACAGGAAGGAGTACCTCCACCTGCAGTGGTCAAGCCTTTCCATCTCAACCGAGGGAATCTCATCAATCCCCCACCAAGGGCACGCTCAGGGGTTCTAATCATGTCAAGGTGACGCCACTTACCAGCACATCCCCCTAGTGCTGAGGTCACCTGTTTGAACTGCGCATGTGCTAAGCCTCCAGGAGTCTCTCAAATGGTAAAGCTACACGATCCAATCTGTAAAGCCTGGTTCACACATATTTTTCTCCATACCCTCTATGCTCTAAAATACTGAAAACAAGATGTAATTTATCTTTGTGCTGCCCTGTAACCATCAGCATCACAATGTTGCATAGAACACTCAGTAAATGTTTGAATGGTTAATATTTCATGTGTGGCTTTTCGTTAGTACCCGAAGCTGCTCTTGACGTTTTGATCCTTAAAAGCTGGTACCATAGGCATGACACTACCATGTTCAGCTCATTTATATAGTAGCTCATTTATAATAGTAGGCTATTCACTAGTAAACACAAACTTTGGGATAAATAAATGAATTTGAGACAAGGGTCTCACGCTGCCCAGGCTGGCCTCCAACAATGTCGTTGATGATGATTTTGAATTCCTGATTCTGACACCACCTTTCATTTGAAGTGCTGGGATTACAGCAATGTGCCTTCACACCTGGCTCAGTTTTTTGCTTTTAAAGCAGGTCCTCCCCCTGCCTTCCCCTCACTCTTCTTTGGTAGCATATAGCATGTGTAAGGCTGACGGAAAAGAAGCCATCACACATTTTCTGAGATCAGGTAATTCTTAAAGTGTATGTGGTTAAAAAAAAAAGTTGAGCTTTGGAAGCTAAAAGAATATGTTAAGAACTTAGGTGTTTAGGTCTGTACTCCATTTTTTAATTGAATCTTGTGTTCTTTTGATGACCAATTTCTTGAGTTCTTTGTATATTTTAGAGTTCAGACCTCTGTCTGATGTGGGGTTAGTGAACCACAATCCCAGAGAATTTAGACAATGAGGACCCTAAGAGAGACTTACATAGCTCTAATCTACATGGGAAGTAGAAAAAGACAAGATCTTCTGAGTAAATTGGGAGCATGGGGACCTTGGGGGTAGGGTTGAAGGGGAGAAGGGAGAGGCAGGGAGGGGAGCTGAGAAAAATGTAGAGCTCAATAAAAATCAATGAAAAAAAAAAAAGAGCTCAGGAGACTGGGACTCAACTTTCTCCAGTTTAAGGTCCCTAGAAGGCCCTCCCGCCATAATTGTTCTGGGCCAGCCGGCTCGCGCTGGGACCACCCGCCTCTTCCGTGGCCTGCCATTGGCCCTGGGCGTTCTCCACGTCTCTACCGGGCACGCGGAGCCTCGCAGCCAGGGCGCCACGAACCTAACAGCCGCCAAGGCCGCAGCAGCCCGGCCGCCTGCCCGCCCGGGCCGCACCCAAC